GACTGAAGGCTCGTGTGTGTGTGTATGCATTGTATGTGTATTGCGGTGTGTGGTATTTTGGGGGAACTCACTAATCTTTGGCTTACAGTTGTGGATTAAATGTTTTTCATGTACCATTGGTGATCGTGAGAAGGTGAAGGCGTGACTGTACACATTCATCAGCAGCATTGTAGATTCCACATTTTCTATATTACTCTGATTTTTAAACAAATGTATTTTGAAACAAATGAGTCTTCTTAACTTGGGTTTTATATAAATGGTGTTTTACCTTAATTAAAAATGGAAAATTTGTTTGTGAAAATGAGACGTTACAAAAAAAAACAAGAATTTCAAGATTAATATGTATATTTAAACTTTATATAACATACTAACCGTAAAACCAAATTAAGATACTGAATAAACGAATTGTATATGTTTTCTCTATCTCATTCTCATCTTTAAGATTTTAATGATTAAAATATCTACTTTTTTTTTGAACTAGTTTAACATTGAAACATGTATCCTTTTTTATTCATATTTCATATACTTTGTTATGAATTTTAATAAACTTTTGATTTTTCATACATATAATTTCCCCAAAATTAATTTCTTTATACAATACCATATCCGAGTAGTCCCCGCCTAGGTCGAGTACTCGCTACCCCCTAGTCAGCCGAACGAGTACTGAATAACGAGTTCCACAACATTGGTTTTAATTAGTGACATACTAGGAAGTTGTACTATTTCTATTTAGTCTTTCATGTCGTCCGCTAGCATAGCCTGGGAGGCATGGTTGCGACTCACTTCCAGTTATGCGAGTGCCTCCCACTCTCGTATCATCTCATTGAAATCCAAATTGGTGAAAAACCCTAACTGGTCTCACTCAGTCACATATTATATTCATGACATAGAGCAATTGTGGATGATTTAGCCCTTGCCAAAGTCCAATTGTTGATGAAGACCTTATGGTGCATATTCGCTCACAGTTAGGAGACGAATACAACAACATCATTCCCATTAAGGTTCATGAAACACCCATCTCTTACTCTGAACTCTATGATAAATTGTTTGATTTTGAACAAGGTCTCAAGGACTCCCCAAATGTTACTGAATCTCTCATTTCCACTGCCAACTTCACCAGCCGGCAACACACCCGTCCATAGGAAACCAAAGTCAATCACCGCAACTCTTGTTTCAATTCCAACATCCAACGGGGAAACAACCAACAATGGTCCAATATCCCCTCCGAAGACAACAGACAATCCCACAATAATACTTACTGCCAGTACTGCAAAATCTCGGGCCACGACACCAAAGAATACCGCAAGCTCTCATGATTTCTTTGAGAAAACCACATTACCTTTGTCGGACAACAAACCGTAGCTCTTGTGGCTAATGTGACCACAACTGGTCCGACTCAGTACCCTCAAACATGGTTGTTTGACACAGGGCCTCTTTTCATGTCTCATTTGAATGCTCCACACTTAACAATGTCTCCGAATGCGGTGGACTGGACGAAATTACTCTCGAGGACAGTAAATGTTTAAAAAAATTTCATATTGGTACCAAACACATCAACACTTTACTAAAACATTTATCTTTACCCATCGTTTTATGTGTTTCGAATCTCAAACCAAACCTAATTTCGATTTCAAAATTATGCAAGACTAATGGCACATCTGTTGAATTTTTTGCATGTTTTTTTGTTATGAAGGATCTTCGCACGGGGGCACTTCTCATGTGGGGGGAGAACACTGATGATGTTTATCATGCTACCATCTCATCCCTCAACCAACTCAACTCCACTATCACACAACCAACTCTTGATTGACATCACAAGCTCGAGTATCTGTTTGTTAAAGTCTTCAATTCCATTGTTACTCGTATAGGCCTTAACTTAAATAAAATGTCAAACTCAAATCTTCACTGTTATTCGTGTGCAATCAATAAAAGCAATACATTACCTTTTGATTCTAACTCATTTGTTTCCATTAAACCTTTACAACTTATTTATTCTGATGTGTGGGGAATGGTTAAATAATTTATTGATCACTTCAAATATTATGTCATTTTTGTTGACTTATGCTCAAAATATGCATGGCTCTACCCTATATAACGAAAATCCGATGTAGGCAAACAATTTTCCCAATTTAAGTCATTGGTGGAAAAAAATATCAACCCCCATTGTGTCCCTCTTCACTGACATCATGGTTGAATACCAAAGCCTTATTCCATACTTACAAACCCATGATACTCACACTATACTACACAACCACATACCCCTGAGCAAAATGGGGTGGCCGAACGCTGACATTGACATTTCGTTGAAACAACTCTCTCCTTCCTTCACTATGCCAACCTTCCACTTAATTTTTGGTCACATGCTTTCCAAACCGCAGTTTGCCTTATCAACCGTCTACCTACCCACATCCTTGACAATCAAAGCCCTTTATGAATGCTTGTTTCAACAATCACCCAACTACTACAAACTAAAACCATTTGGTTGTTTATGCTACCCTTGACTATGTCCATACATTACCTCCAAAATTGAGCCTCATTCCTCTCCTTGCATTTTCTTGGACATTCCACCTCCAAGTCGGCCTACAAATGATTTGATATTGTCCCCTCCCGTCTCTATCACTAACGGATGAAACATGTTGCTCTCGGCTATCACTTTGTCTGTAAAAGAGTTCAGGATGGCTCGCTACATGTTCTTCATATAAACTCTTCTGACCACCTCGTTGATGCTCTTACCAAGCCGCTTGCACGCTCCATAATTTTAAATCTATGTTCCAAGATTGGAGACTCTGTCGGATCCACCATCTTGCGGGGTCGTATTACGGATACCAACAATAATATAAAACATAATTCAAATTATAGGTAAATAGTTAATAGGCAAGGCATTCAATGTATAATTATTTTGTTGCCTAGTTTAGCTCCTTAATTATTTCATTCCCAATTTCATTGAGATCAGTATATATCATCTTGTAATCCTATTGTATATTCAATCAATATATCCAATACCTTAATAATTCGTCCCTCCACCTGTAACATCTGGATCTCGAGGTATGAAATTTAAAGTAAATTATGAGTTTTGAGTGGGTCACGATGTGGGGGAAGCATTGCCATGACGTGACATGACCGCAAGAAGCGTGAGTCTCATTTAGGTGTCACGACGTGACACTATGTTGGTCACGACGTGACTTTTGTTAATGGGAAAACCCTAATTTCCGGACTTGGGCCCTATTTAAAGGAAGTGAGGGCAAAAGTTTTCTCCACCCTTAGCCTCAATCACCTCTTAAACCCCATGGATGAAAACCCTAATCCCTCTCCTCCATTTTTGAGCTCATCTTGGTGTTCTTTGTGGGTTTTGAAGGAAGAATAAGGTTTTTTGTGGTGAAGGGAGCATATTGGCCAGTCTTGAGACTTCATTGAGCATTTCCTGGACCTTTGTGAGTAATCAAGTTCCAATCTTTATGCTTTTGGTTTTTAGATCTATGTTTTTTTGTCCCTTTTAGCCACATTTGGGAAAGTTTGGGTGGAAAGATTCCATAAAGTTGGCAACTTTATGGATCATTGAGGTCCCTTGAAGGTTATATGCTTTGGATCTGGAGTTTGGTGTAGTTTTGAATCCATGCATGGGATTTTTGCTTCCATTTTCACCATTTTGAACCATCTTGAGTCCAAGACATGCATTGGACATGCATGACTATAAAGCACCGATATTTGGAAGGTTTTTGGAGTAAGAACGCCCTCTGAGAAGTTAGGATGATTGACTTAATGGATTAGGGGCTTAATGCATTAAGTTGCCCTAGTGCAGTTCCACAACGTGACCATTTGGGTGTCACGACGTGACGATGCGAGTTCATCGATTGATTTGGACGGACGCTGTCACGACGTGGCGGCAGGGCCATCACGACGTGACAATAAATTTGAATGAGATTGAATTGGATCGTGATCGATTTTGTGATCGAGTAGAGTTCGTTTTCCCACGACGTGACCATGGGTTGGTCACGACGTGAGGGTCAACTGATGGTGATGCTGACTGTTGACTTTGACTCTAACTGTCGACTTGTTGACCTGGGTTGACTTTTGGTCAAATTGCTAGTTCTATAATATAGACTAAGGTGGGACCTTGAGTGATTCGATAGGTGGATTGTAGCACATGTTCCGTGACTTGAGTTGTGGTTTGTCTGACTTCGTGAGGAAGGTGAGTTGTTTCACTATACTATGTAGGTTGTTAGATTGTCTTTGTGACTCTTGAATGAAAGATTGTGGTGGGATCACAACACTTGTATGAAAGACTATGGTTGGTCATAACACTTGTATGAAAGATTATGGTTGGATCACAACACTTTTTTTGTCTTTGTGACTTGCATGGAAGACCATGGTTAGATCATGACAAAAAGGCTACGATTGGGCTGTAGTCCGGAAGTGACTGTAAGACTATGGTTGTATATCATTCACATAGGCTTGAAATACACCCTTAGGGTTGGGCCCACTGATATGTATGGTATGTGGTATTTTGAAGAACTCGCTAAGCTTTGTGCTTACAATTTTGTGGTTTAAACATTTTCAGGTACTTCCAGTTCCAAAAGGAAGGGCCCGATTTGACTGCACAACATCCCCTGATGATTTTTCCGCACTGATTATTATCATTTTACTCTGATGTTTGAGATACATTTTACTATGACTGATTTTGGAACAAATGTTGTATGGATTTGATGGTTTGAAAATGAAAAATTCTTATTAGTATTTTTAGGACGTTACACCATCTCTCATTATAATTCCATGAACCTAACTTTCACATATTTGGTAAAATACTTACGTAGCAACCAAGTTTAATCTGTATCACAGTTCACATGTTTAAAACATTGAACAAAATAAACACATCACAATGGAGTACATGCTAAACACAAATTCTTCCAATTTCACTTGAAATCTTTGCGAATCGAACAAGCTTTGAGCTATGTTAGTGATTTTTATCTTTTAAAACTAACCATATATTTTACACAGTTCACCACGTTTATTAATTTCTACTAAAATCAAACATACAACTCAAAAGAACGGATCTACCTTATCGTCAAAACCACCAGAAGTGAGTTATGCTTTTTTTGAGTAAACCCTATGAACAAGCTATATATCTAGCAACTTGTAGTTAGAAATTGCATCTCCTTTTTAAGGTTTGTATTGAATGATGGGAATTTGACATATCATTGTAGCATACATCAGGAACAAAAGCAACAGTATTCATTTGATGACAATGTTCTTGTTTTGGCGAACATAGTCCTGAAGCAGTAGGTGGTGAATATATTTGTGGGACTGCCCAAGATGATTCGGGTACCTGCCCCAAGCAATCCTCACTGTCCAACTCTACCTCCAATGCTCTTAGAATTGAACAACAGTCTGAGTCTCCCATCTTGCTAGAATCACCCTAAAAGATTAATTATGATTCTTGAATATCATATCAAGTATTACTAAAGGCTAAAGCGTTGTAGTTTGAAATATCTACCCAATTATAGCATTGTATTTTCAATTTTTCTTATTAGAACGTTATACTTTGAAAAATCTACCCAATTATGGCATTTATTTCTATACAATGTTGTAATAGAAAGAAATGAAAGTAGGATGCTATAACAGACAAATCCATGTAAGTATGTTGCTATTTATTGCATTTTAAACCTATATAAGAAGTTCATGTGTTTTTACCTTATTGGATGAGGTGTTGTCTATGTAGTCATAATTCTGATTGGGATCGGTCAAACCAAAAAACTCATCAAATTGCCATTGTTGGATGACTTCAGCTGGAGAACCCCCACCATAAGTCAACTTAGGATATGAAAAGTCTTCATGCAAAACTTTGTTGTATTGGGTGTTTGTTGCCTTTGGGAGACAAAGTGATTCTGGGATTTTTTCACAGGGGAGTGACTTCACGGATGAAGAAGAAACAAGATCAGAAGAAGTTTCAAGCCCTATTTTCACACCAGTAAGTAGAAACCTCTGGTGTGATGAAACAAGAGAGTTGACTGTATGAATGGCAACATCACATTTTCTGCACAATAAAGCCCTGTCTTCCAGACAAAAGAAGTAGCCATCTCCTTCCTGTATGATAGAGTAGAGATTAATACATCATACTATCTCATAAGTAAATATGGCAAGACACAAACTTTGAAGCTTCTGAAGTAAATCACAGTAAACATGAAGGCAAAACAGATGGGGTGGGGTCTATTCATCTTTGGTTTTCAACAAAAATGGGAACATGACATGGCAATAAAAATACCAATTTGAAACTTGTATGTCCTTTATGTTCAAACATGATTACACGATCATTTTCATCATATACTTCCAAACAGTATAACTGAAATCAATCAAAAGTTGTTTTCACAGGTAAAAGTCAAATCACGCAGATGACAGACCTAATTTCGAAAGAGATTCTTTTTATTGTTATCAAGTGTGTTCTCTTTCGTGAGATATAATACACGTTCCGCATCACAATCATTCATGGAAAAATGAATCGAAACACAAAAAATTCAAACAATTATGAAAATCATCAATAACTTACAGATACACGTCTGTATATGCACATCACATACCTGGCATATATCACACTTAGGCATCTGCTTATGGGAATTAGAAAGAGGAACTCTCTGATGTTTACTCGCGAGCTTGTTAGCAGCGTGTATCTTTTCGTCGCAAGCCCAACACAACGCCGCCTCGTCGGCGCAACAAAGCACCGTCGCCTCCGCCGATTCACACACATTACATTGGATCTTCATCCTTTAATTAATCTTATCGATCGTATTTCTTTAAAATTTGTTTGAGATCTGCTCAGACTCAGAGAATTGGAGAGAGTTTAAGAAGCAAAGAGGGATGATAGAAGGGGGAGAGTTGAGACGGGAGGGTGTCACTAGAATATATACGGATTCGTATTTCAGTGGATAATTAGAGTTGGTTATTTTTTTGTTGTAAAAATATATGATATTTTTTCAACGAGTTTGATGCGGACACGTGTCGCTTAGTTGCGTTGATGAATCAAACGGAGACCGGCTGATCTGGCTTTCACGGATATTTATAAGATTTTTCTAAATATTGAGCGACAGCGACAAACATCTTACGTATGGAATTATTTAGATATTTCAAAATTTCAATCAGTTAATTTACTTTTTTTATTAATAAAATGACAACATAATAAAATGTAAAAAAGGTTCAATTTTTTTTTATCCAAAAAATTTTATATTCCATAAAATATCTTAGTTATCCTCGCACAACGAGTGAGATGACAAACAGACAATAAAATTGCGTTGCTAAGCCTTTTTGTATGGTAAAGTTAATTATTTTGAATAATACATCCATAGATCTACGGGATATAACATTGTTATGTATGATCCGTTGTACTTCATTAAGAAGTTTCACCGCATCCGGCACAAGAAAACCAAACGTATCAAATACAAATGGTATGAACACATGTTGATTTTCCATGCACAATTTTTCATATTTGGTGACCTTGCCTGTAGCAGTTTTTAAAGCAGCTTGCCCCATCGTGAAACCTCCAGCTCTCAAGCCCACGAGAGGGATACCCTTGTAAGGTCCACACATGTGTGTTTCCCTCCAACCCATCCAAAAATCAAAATGTCAGTCGGTCTAAGGGTTGACATTCATTTTGTCGGGTCAGTCAAGAAATTCACACGGGCCTCTTTCTTGGCGGAAACCCCGACACGCTTAAATATGTCAAACAAAACATCCATAACCATATTGTGCCTATATTTGAACCCCGAGAGTTCTTTACAGTGAACTACATGCTCTCCAAAAGAGTCCAAACATGCCTTGCGGCACACCGAACATATCTCATCAGCTGGGAATATTGGGATCATGAGTCGATATTTGAGGATAGTACGATACTCCACATGAGACATATGTTGGCCAAGCCCATCTATAGCGATAGCTAGAAGAAAATCTTGAGCATGTGGTGCACGTAAACACTGGAAAACTGCTTTCTGTCAACCGTCATGTCGAGATGTACTTCCATATCTTGGACAATTTTACTAAAAATGGCACTCGCCAGTGTATTATGGGATTTAGGGGGAGGGGTGTCCTTAGTAGTAAAACTGCTAAGGTCAATGTTCGGAAGTTTGTTATAAAGAGAAGCCAAGGCTCAAGCATAATCAGAATCCATACCATATATGACGTTATCCCGTAAGATGTGGTCTTGCAATACCCAAGATTAAAACCTTGAGGCAACAAAAGCATATGAGGTAGCCTCTACTGCCGAGTATAAACTCAAAATGTATGTCGCCAAAGAAAGGGCCACTACGAACCACAATGTCCTCAATCGCGCCGCACAACCCATTGTCAAAGAACAACGTCGCCTCCTCCATGTGAACAGGTTGGCACATCCTCAACCCAAAGGAAAGTTTAGCAATACCCATACAAGATCGAAGAAGGAGCTCACTCTGGGGGTCAGATAATTGTGGAAGAAGGCACATCAAATTCACAGCGTTTTCGGCTCTCTTTATGGCTAAGCTACTAATGAAACTAGCATCTCTACTAATAGCTCCCCCAAGAAGTTTCACCCCCAATGGTGGCCTCCCGATGCCAACTGGGAATAGTCCGTAGCTTCCTACCATCACACGAGGGCCAAACGAGCTCAATTTTCTTGATATTCAACTGAAGGCCCAATTTTGGGCCAATCACCTTAATGATGTCCAACGCTTTGGCCACCTCCTCCGAAACTTCAATAAGTGTGTCATTATCAAGGTACCATTCATGTAGAAGAAGCTTGCAATTGTCTCTAATATTATGCAAGAGCGGGTGCAACACAAGGGCAAAGCGAAGTGGTCCCAAGGAGTCTCCTTGCTAAACCCCAGTAGTGGACCAAATATGTGTGTCTCCTAGATACAACTTTGCTGCTTGACCATATAGGACTTCTACCCACAAGGATATAGAAGGGCATCTTAATCTGACCTTATGAAGTAATGCGGATCTGTCGACAATGTTAAAGGCATTGGATAAGTCCACGATAAGCATGGAAAGAGACTCGTCATCGTGACGCTCACTCAACACCCTGTTGGCGCTATGTAATACAGCCTTAGCACCACCTGAAACCCCAACCCCGAACTTGAAATCATTGAGATACTTGGTCATTTCTTTACCAACACCTTTCATGGCCAACTTGGAAACCAAACGTCTCCATATAGTGTGGTACAATAGGTCGTATTCCCTTTTCAGGTTTTAAGAGCGACGTAAGAGGAGCAGAGACAACAAATTCAGCCAAACTCGAAGGGCATCTTCCCCCTAGCCATAGATTAACCACAGATGTAATAACACGTAGCAGGTCTTTGGCTATAGCTGAACCTTCTCCACAAAGAGCATCCAAAATGTGTTGAGCTCTCAACCCATCTCTCCCACATGAGGTTCCTTTAGGGAATGATTTAATGCCCGTAAGGACATTGTCAATATCCACTACAAGGGAAGGTTCTTAAAATATGGTACTCGACATGGATGATGGTGACTTGCATGGATGCTTATCCTCCAATGCCTTCGTGGTATCATCCCCGTATTGAGCAACCCCCGAGGAACATAATACTTTCACTGCTAATGTGAAGTGCCAATCTACAACATTACTGAGACATTGCCTGATGTTGGTGTCACCCCGTGTTCTATCCTCCTGAGTGTACTCTTCTATTTTGCCTTGTTGCTCCAGCTTTACATTGTCAACCAAGTTTTTAACAAGCTTGGCTATACCGTCTTCTGTACCCCATGTTGTTAGGTCTAAATTTATGGTTTATACTTTGCTTTTCTAGGCATTTATAGTTTTCGGTCTAGGGCCGAAAACAGTCAAAGGTTTAGTTGTAGTTTGGACCGAAATTACATGTGATTTCGGTCTAGCTATTGGGTTTTGGGCTTGGGTTTTGTCCATATGTATAAATAGTGTGTTATTAGGCGTATTTAGGGGAGTCTAAGGAGTAGAAAAACGTGAAAGGGGCTGTCGTTGTCATATACTTGGTGTTATAGAGAGAGAAAGTAGAGAGAACGTGTGTGTGTGTGAATCTTGTGTACCGGATCATCATTGAATATTATTGTGTGCATTGAAGATTCATCTTGTTCTTGTTCTTCTTCTTCTCCATTTCATCTTGCATCATCCACTTGATTGGGATTCCGCACCATCAAGTGGATCGGCTTTGGAAGTTTTCGGTTCAGACGATTTCGGTTTGCAGGATTTCAGTTCCGATTGCGGTCCTCGCATTTTCGGTCAGAAGCGAGATTTCGGTGCGAGACTTCTCGGTTAGGATGAGAAGCCTCGCGATTTCAGTCTAAAAATCATTTTTTCAAAATTTCAAGCCACATTTTCGACCTAAAGTTTTAACTTTCGACTTTTGACTTCCAAGTTTGAATTTTGACTTTCATTTTTGACCTTTGACTTTTAGATTTGACTTTTCAAGTTTGACTTTTTAAGTTTGACTTTTAAGGTTGACTTTTGAGGTTTCAAGTCAAAGGGCATTTTTGGTAAACAATGAGTTCCTCAAACACCAAGGTCAATGAAGCTTCATGTTCTCAGTCTTGTGAAGCTAAAATTAAACTTTATCGTGATCAACATGATTTGCTAAAAAGGGAAATTGAGGACCTTAAATATGAAGGATATACACTTAGGAAGGCCCAAAAACCCTTAAAAGAACAACTAGAGGCCAAAACCAAGGACTTTAGAAAACTTGAGGAAGAATATAGTAATAAATGTGAAAATTACAACTATGCTAAAAAGGAAATTGTCAAATTAACTGCCGAACTTGATGCATTGAAAGCTAAATATAAAGATGCTGAAATTAACTTTAAGAAATTTGATGCGTCAAGTGAGGTGGTTGTGTCCATGATTGAGAAACAATTAAAATTCAAAGATAATCAGAATAAGGGTCTAGGGTATCACAGTGTTCCACCTCCTTTCAATGACAACTATACCTTACCCCTTGAAACCAATGAGGAAGAGATACCTGCTCAGTATGGCCCACCCCTGTACCAGCTTCAGTTAAGACTGAACAATCTGGTCCAACTGAAAATATTAAGATGAAGGATACTAATGCCTCTACTTCATGTGCAGTTAAAGTAGTGGAAGATGAGGACAAGTAGAACATAATTAATTCTAGCTCTGTTAATTCTACTGATTGTCAAACCAATGTCTCCTTCAACTCTGAATCTGTTGCTTCTCATTCAGTTACTTCTAATAAACCTGTTGTTGGTAAATACAGACCACCAAAACAAGCGAAACAGACTGCTTGCTGCAAGTGTGCATATGGGAACAATTAGAAACAAGGCATGGGCATGTTACCAGGGACATGCAGAAACAACTTCTACGTGAAGAAACAGACTTGTTTCCACTGTGGAACACATGGACACATTGTGAGAAATTATCCAAATCGTGCATATGTTCCCTACTATGCTTAAGGTTAGCAGAAAGCGCCAAGAGGGAGATCTTTCAAAAGAAATTCTTCGAGGTCACAATCATGCAATGGTGACTGGAATGTGAAAAAGGCCAAGAATCAATCTCCCAAGGACAAGAAGGGAATGTCAACCAAGAAGCCAAATTCAAGAGATGGTTCAGTTAAACGAAGATCAGTTAATTCAAAGTCATCTCGGAATTCGGCTTCAAGTTCAAAAGAAAGTGCTAAGGCATCCATCCGATCAAACAAGAAATGGGTTAAACCCAACTACAGATAGGTACCAAATGTTCACACTCCCAAATTATCTAATGATTCTAACATTTATTCATCTATTGTGTGTGATAAATAGGATATGTCATGGGAGAGAGTATCTTGCGTAGATGATAAAGGTCAACCCAGCTTCAAAATGGACTGGGTTCCAAAGACCAACTAATCCCGCACTCT